CCCCAAAACCCCAAAACCCCAAAACCCCAAAACCCCTAAGGCAGAGTCAACATTGAAAGACTTATTCCTTCTATTTCTTGACTTTCTTGATAAACCTTCTGATTATTTTCCTTTTCCCTTTCGACTTTGTACTCCTCACTGATAGGTCTTCTCTATCCGCCTTGTCAGGAGACCCTGAGTGGGATCTTGACCCTGATCTTTTCCTACGAGGAGATCCCGAACGAGACCTTGAACGGGACCTTGATGAACTTCTTCCTCGAGAACTTGATCTCGACTTGTATTTATTCCTTCTTGGTGAGGAAGCTTTTATATGAGCAAGTGTTGGATTTTGGGGAAGGTTGCAAACCTGCCTTTGGAAGAAGTGTGTTCTGTCTTGATGACTTAAAGTTGTTTCGTGATGAATTTTGGCGTGAAAAGCTTCTTGGAGCTTCAGGAGATGATCTTACCTTCATCATCTTTGTGATGATCTTCTTCTTTTTAGCCTTTTTAGGCTCGTTCAATTCCTTTTGTGTAAAATTCTGAACCAGTTTCTGGAGCATGCTCTGCTTTTCAAGTTTGCTTGCACTTGAAGATGCAATTGCTTCTCTCTGTATCTTCAATAATATATCCTTGTTAGAGTTATTGGGTTTATCTTGATCTGATCTGCTTTTTCTATTCAAACTACCTTCCTTCGAGTCTTTGCTGAGGAAATATTTTAGATAATCATTTCATTGTTTTCAGCATATTTCATTGAAAGAAGGATCAGATTATTTGCAGTCGCTTGTTCTTTGGAATCCTCAAGAAGTGTCCTTTCAAGCTTTTGCTTTTCTTTCTGGGTCTTCTTTAAAGCTTCAATCAAGTCTCTTGAAGGTTCCTTTCGAGTGGTTTTAATTATTCTTGACGATCTCTTCTTTCTGAGTCCTGATTTAGCAGACAGTTCAGTTTGAATTCCTTTGATATCAGTTTGGGTCTCTTTCTCGTCGAATAAGGGTTTGACTAGATCTTGTAATTCTCTTTCAAGGCTAATCTTGAGTGAGTCAGAGTCATTTGAAATTTCAAGATCATCTGGAACTTCAGGTTCTTTATCACCTACCTCTTTTGCACTAAGAAATGACTTAGTGTCAATTCTGGACCTCATTCTAGAGATGAAATCATCTCCAAAGATATTCTGGAACATGTAAGTTTGCCTATATGATTATGTTCAAGGCCTTGCCTTCGAGATGATTCTTTCATGATCTCAATTTGCTGGAGTGCAAGATCTGTTTGCTTCATCTTGTTGGCAAGAGTGATAAAGTCTTCGATAAGATCTTGCACTAAATGTGACTTTGAAGTGGACTCTTGCTGAGCTTCATAAATTTTATCTAAATTCTTGAACCTGGACAAGATGTTCTCATGAGTCTTAGAGATGAATGCGTTAGACTGGTGTCTGTGGTCATCAATCTCTAGAGTATCATCCTGGTAGATTTCAAGTTCAACTTCAGCTTCGAAGTTGTTAAGGTTTTCAACAATTTTATTTTCTCAGGTTTCTTGCTTCAAGTGGTGAATTTCAATCCGAAGAAATGACTAAAGTGGGTTCACCAATTACATCAAGCAGCAGCTTGTTCAGGTATTCTATGTACCTTTCTTGTTTATTTTATAGTTGCTTTGAACTTTCTAGTGGTCATTTCTGGGTGAGCTTTAGTGATTTCGTCAATGTCGAAGTCAGGCTTGAAGCCTATTGAGTGAGATGATGTACTCTGCTGGTCAACATAGCTGATGGCAACTTGATTCAAACGAGAGTTGTTGCTAATGGTCGATATCTTTTTCTCCAAGTCTTCAATCTGACTGAGTAGCATGACTTCTCTTTTCTGATAATGGTTTTCAATTTCTTCGATCTTGCTGTTCATCAACTTGTCTGGAGTGTCTTTGAATAGTTCAATTGAAACATTATCCTCAGGGTTGATCAGAACTTGTTTGCATCTGTTCGCAAACTGAAGAGTTGACAAAGTTTCATGTGTAACGTCTTCTCTGCTACTGACAGTCGCTAAGAGTGCAATCATGCTTTCTCCTTTTAACGAGTTCTGCAAGATCCTTGTGAGTTTGCTTTCTCTGAATGAGATGAACTTTTCTCCTTTAGACAGGTTCAGGATGACATTTCCAAGTGCAGACAGCGACGAATTAATACTCTGAGCTTCTTTCAGTCTTTTTCCACTAGCTTTTGTCTTTTTGACTCTTTCTGACCCAGCTAGATCAACCAGAGTCAATCGGGATGATACGCTTTGGACATGATCATTTTTATCATGTTCTGATAGATGTCAATGTTCAATAAAGTGTGACTTCTGTTGGAAGAACTGTTGAGTCCTTGAGCTCCCATTTTTCTATGAGCAAGACCAGCATTGATTATTGTTATCGCCTGGTTCATGGTTTTGACATGCACTTCGATCAGATCTTCTTTGTATACAACTTTCTTATCTTCTCTGGCAGTTAGTGACTTATTTTTAGAGTTGAACAAATCTTGAACTTCGTTCACACATACTCGATAAAGTGAGAGATGGACTATGAATTTGTAGAACCTCGTACTGTTTTCATCAGTATATTGAAAGAGGTACTTCAGAGTGTTCGGAACTATTGCTTCTGAGTATGGTTTAGAAGGTCTATTGTTCTCATAATATGATTTTTGCCAGTTCCAGTCTGTTCATAGACAAAGCAAACATCATGATATCCTTCTAAATAGTGATCAATAAGAGGGATTGAGGCATTTTCAAATACGACTAATTGAGTGCTGTCTTGATCAAACACCTTATTGAATTGATACTATTTGTTTATCTCCGTTAAACGTAGAAATATCTTATTTTTATCATAAATATGTAAGGATTCTTCAGGATAGCTGTGTTCTGAGTAAGCATCACCAAGATCATTGCCAATATTTTCTTCTACTGAAATGCTACATAAAATGTTAAAATTGTTGGTAGGTGCAATGTTTAGATGAATTTTGAAAAATATACATAAAAGGTAGAGAAATTAGATCAAATAAATACATAAAGGTTGGCTTAATTGTAAACATTCTGAAAGGTTCTAGCTTAACAAATTACTGAAGTTTGCACTTCAGTCGTTATAAATAAGATGTCTCCTATGAAATCAAATTTTGCTAAATAAATCTTGTCAAAGAAAGATGATACAAAAATTGGATCTTAGACTGAAAATTAATGAAAAGTTCAAATTTTTAGTGAAATCTTACAAAATTATTCAGCGCTAATTTCATCAAGCTTATTTTTATATTCTTTGAGATTCTCCTCAACAAACTCAAGCTCATGATGAAGCTCTTTCATCCTCAACTCGGTCTTCTTGTGCCTCTTGGTGATTGCATGGATGAACATTCCTATTCTTTGAAGTTCCTCAACATTGAGTTCCTGTCGATATTCGATCTCTCTGGCTTCCATTAATGGTTTCTTGTCTTCTTCAAAATTTGCTTCTGACTCAAAATTGAATTTATCAGAGCCTTTAGAGTCAGGACACATTTGTAGACCTCCATATTCATCTCTGAGAGTGGTTTCACGAACAACTCCAGGGATTCCTGGCTCTGATGGCCTGATCATAGTAATTTTGGTTGCTTCGACCAAGTCTTTATTTAACTCGTTTAATGGGGTCAGGTGGTTAAGTGAACTATCATCAATGCCTCCTTCTTGTGGAGATTTGAATAGTAATACTTTGGTTCCATCATCAGCCATTTTGTTATGCTTCAAACATAGCTTTAAGAAAGTATCTTCGTTTCTAAAATGCACTGAAGTCAGTATGTAGTTATTATGATACAAATGGTTAGCTTTCTCATATTCTCTCATGAACCTCCAACATAAGATTCATGCTGATAATTTATTATTAGACCCATACGGAAGCTTATGATTCTGTTCCAACAAATCAGTGAACTTATAATAATTCTCTCCTTCTCTCTTCGTCCAATCTCTTCCTATCTTCGCCATTTCCCCACTAAATTACGCTTCAATAAATCCCCAAACCAACGGGGTTTTGGGGTTTTGGGGTTTTGGGGTTTTGGGG